GTAACTGTCTGTATTCACATAACCAGCGCTGAATGTGAACGTAGTTTCTCTTGCCAGCATAGAATATAATCAAATCGATATTTCAAGGCTGTATTGGTAAAGCGATTCGAGTGTCATCTGAGGGGCTAGACACAGACATTTTGAGCAAATATTCGTCACAACTTATACTGCACTATGCTTTATACTACATTCATGGTGACATGGTTTATGTGTGAATGTCGAAAACAATTTGGGGGGTCATTGTACCCTACTCTTTTAAATTGAACAGGTATGAATAGTATTTACAAATTATTTACAAATTAGTTTACCATTATTGTTATGATGAATTTGTTATACATTATTTCCCCCTCGGTATAAATTGTTTGTTATTCCATTAATTGTACGTATGTGGGAGGAGGACTCGCATGTTCAACTAGAAAATGTAACTGCCAAACGACTGTGTTTGAACAATTAATAGAAATTGATTCAAACTTCAGGGAACCGAAATTCCTGTCCTGTTAGGGAATTCCAATTTGTTTTTAGTGCCAGTGCGTCCAAGTCAACGAAAGCGTCTTAATTATATTCACGCAGTTAGACTTCGGTGGTTTGACTGATATCTCCAGAAAAATAAACTGTTGCATATTAGTCATGATATCTATGTTATGAATTACGGCGTTATATAATCTCATTGTTAGTATAATTATAGCTGTGAATATTTGTAGAATGCGGGCGTAATGGTATTTTACTTTGGAAACTGCGTTTTACCAAAGCTTCGTAGTTACAATGTTATGAATAATAAAGACTGTTAATCTACATGTTATTATTCCGGTTAATGTTTGATAGTCTGCTGAAGTGTGTAAAAAGTCTAATATGAAGGAAATATTGAGAATTATTGAACTTGCTGTCAGTGAAACATTACTGATATCAATCGCTACATTGCATTAATTTTGGTCACATAAACAAACTTATCAATGCAAACATTTTCTTAATCTAGTTGTCTGTTCTTTTATATGTGTATGTATAATGAACTTGTACAGCCGGCAATGTTCTGAAATCGACAAATGTGGTCAGGGAAACAGTATTATTACTTAGAGAAAGTCGCTGACAGGTATTTGAACTGAACTACATTTAGCAAGGTACGCATAGTTCCTCTTTGTCGTCAAAGTGTGAGTTTTTACTTCAGTTCATTGCCAGAAATGGACAATAGAATCTGGTCAAATAGGGATTTCCTGTCTATCCCATTACATTCTTAATACAAAAATCTGTGGACAGACTAATCGTGTGAATATCATTGTTGTCGTCGAAGGCGGTTGGTATGCAAATTACGTTTGTCTAACGCGGTACAAGACAAAAGTGGAGACTGACGTGGAACAATACACAACTCCCGGACAGATGTTGTGATGAAACTCCTCTTTTATAAAGAGGAAACACGGCCATGTTGATTTTGTGGTCTGACCTTTAACACCAAAAGCAGTATGGCGATAGTAGTTCGCGTTCAAAAATGGGGTGGTTTCCCATGGAATAACATGGACATAAAACAATTATATTTGCTTACAACTGGATCGTACATCTATGTAAAAAAATGCAAGAATTCCAACGCTAATTTGGGCTGCGAATACTGCGTCTACAAATGCGCCGCCATGTTCATTGAACCAGAAATTATCAAGAACGAATAGACTTGAAGAGTCGCCTGCGTTACGACATTTTCCTATTTTTAAAAATGTGAGTTTGGCACACAAATACACATCGTCCATTGGTAATATACTGGGCCAGTGGGGGATTTATCATCAGGTTTTACGGCAAGTTGGGCATTTAATGGTGGAGTTTTAATTAAAACATCTATAACATATCGAAAACTTGGAACGTCACCTGTCTATTACAAAGCACACAAACGTGAACAAATGAACAATATAAACTCAAATATATGTTTATGCAATGCATTCTCTATGGCACATCCTGTGATGTTTATTGACAGGGGAGCACTGGCCATGGGCGGAAGTCAGCCATCTTGTCCACCCATTTATGCGATCCACTCAAGTTCGTTTTTATTTTGAAATCAGAGCATATTCCGAAGTTGTACGTCAACAATGAAACGTGCCACAACAAATATTTACTGCCTGTAATTTTGTGAAATGTACGCAAATGCGTTCATCGAGACAGTATTATTACGTGGTTTTAATAGAGAAAATCGCTCACATGTATTCTGAACCTGATTTTGCATGGTCTCGTAGTTTCGTTTTGTCGGCGAAGCACGCGTTTTTATTTCAGAGTGATCCACAATACTAAAAGCTTGTTTATTATTGGGAAATAATTGTTTACATTAAAAACAGGGTTAACTATGACGCAAGTCGTCCGGTGTTTACAGCGGTAAAACAATGTGACACGGCAAATGTTTACGGCCAGCAATTTTGCGAAATCGCTATTTACGCAACGCCGACAAATCAGCAGAAACCTTTATACTACGATGTCCTTAAAAATGTACAAACGTTCATAATTTTTTCTATTTATTTTTTCTTGATTTTTATACAGCAATTAATGGTCTTTTGTAGTTAAACAATGGGTTTTCAATTTGTTCCAGTCCGCTCGCGAAAAGGAGGCGCCGCACTGAATTGTCAGCTCATAAATATTCTTGCATAAATTTGCATATTGCGCAGAGCAAAATCAAATCTGCTCCGCGAAGCTCCCCGAAGGACAAAGCAGCTCCTCGGAGCTCCGCGGAGTTGGTTTGATTTTGATCCAACTCCCTTAAATTTCTTCATATATATATACATGTATATATATATATGTATATGGCAATAAATTCATGAAATTTTTTTTATCATGGCTATGTTTATCATGAAATACATATCTAATGGATATCAACAACATTGATAACGAAAATGTTTGTATTTTCCCTTATTTGTAGTATTTTATGATATTGACTTTCTTTCTCAACATGAAATCTAACAGAATTGAGAGTCTGGGAATGCAAATGTATAAATATCTCTATACGGATACATATATAAATGTTGCAGCAACTCACCCACCTCGAAATTGGACATCCATGTACATACAACAATTACAAATAGTAGCGTACCAAACCATACCATTTTTCTGTTGTCCATACTCTCTGTTATTAAGGACAAAATACATATTGAGAATAAAGCTTATTAATATACTCGGCTTGTCGCAAACATGCTGTTGAACCACATGGTTGCTAGGGACATACCACAACGCAGGAGTCAACTGCTGAAATGAGTTTATGTGGTGGAAGGAATGTTTATGAAGGGTTTCTAATTTATTTTTTGTAAAATAACAACCCAGCCTCACCTTTTCTCTGCATGTTCATCATTCAAACCACGACATGCAATGTTTGTCGTGTGACACGATGTTACAAAGTCGGGTCAAATATTAACCCAAACACACAACAATAATGAATATGCGCTACCACCACGTGGTTGGGTTCCTAAACTTATACAATTAATGTAACACAGGAATAATTTAGACTGACAGACATCACTATAGTTAAATAAAATTATGTGCATATATAAATAGAGATAAGAATGCACGCAGTTTGTAGGTATAACAAAAATAAGCTTGAATGGTTACTCGAATCTGGCAATGTCGTCCGCCCCTGCAATAGGTAAATGCAAAACGCGGCCTTTACACAGTTAACAAGCATCGTATAACAACTGAAAGTCCAGGACTAACTAGAATGAGTGTATGAATGTGCGGTACCTGAATTTCCTGACCAGTATCAATTCGTAGCGCGTGTTAGAACAATTAAGCATCCAACGATGTTGGTCAATTGCTTTAGAAGAATTATATGACCTATAAATAAATTCTACTAAATTCTACCTATAAATAAATACTTGCACATAGTCCTTTTTTGTGGTAATACAGTCGACGTTTCAGAAGTTCAAAAGTTAAGGAATTGTTTATAAGAAATTCACAATCAAGATTTCTTGGGTGTTCATGCAGAATATGGTAGCCTGGCTACTAAATTCTATAAATTACACTCAACTAAACAAATAAAGGTCCATTGCATGTCTGAATTAAATGATATACCAAATGTAAGCAAATATGTATTTTCATACACCTTTATAGATTTTTCTGTATTATTTTCATCTTATTCTTACAGTATGTACTGTTGGTTGCTAAAGTAAATCATATTAACCCAGGGGAGACGACTCGTCATTCGACATATTTTAACATAATGCTGCTGATTTCAGTAAACTCAACCTTAACCCCTCATCCAACTGCCAGATGAGCTTGCCAGATGAGCTTGCTGGTTGTTCCAAGGGTAATATTTCTGTGCATGGCGACGGACAATGAATACATATGTGTAAATGCTATATCCAAATGCCCCTGCATATCATACACGCAATTTATTTTGCTAAACGAACCCGGTCCAAACCAGGCTCCGCCGATCGTGGAAAGCATTTGAGGCCAATAACCGTTCAAGCACATCTGTCCTGCAAGTTTAGGATTTGTACAGAAGAAAACGCGCATTTAGGGAATGAAAACACACATTCACATCAACAAAGGAGTTATTTCAGTTTCTAACTTTGTCGGTTGTTTTGTGTCATTGATTCTTTTAATTTTAAATGCCAGCTCCTCAAATTACTCTCTATTTTGATGTTTTATTATAGTTGAATACCATGCGATGAGGTACGTACAGTGGAAGGTGTAAATATATGGAAATAGCCGCTACGTCATAATTTATTTAGTCATGTGATCAACTGTCCAATAATCTGCAGCTGTATGGGCTCTGTTTGACATGGCATTTATTCTATCCCTGGAAAATGGTAATGAACGATGACATACATAAATATGTTGTCATGTAATTTGGGCAGCCAACAGTTGAGACGAATGCCAAAGAATATATAGATGCAAGCAGCAATGCGAGAGTTACAAGCTAATAATACAGTCGTGTGACTGAATTAGGTTGCGACGACCAAAAACGTTCATCAAAGAAGACACTGATGGCGTTATGTCTACTCATACCACTCCTACAATTAACTGTTGCTTTGCCAGGATACCCCTGTCTACCACTATTATTGACTGTTGCCTTCCCGGAATACCCCTGTTTATCCCTAGTATTGACTGTTGCCGTCCCGGAATACCCCTGTCTACCCCTGTCTATCCCTAGTATTGACTGTTGCCTTCCCGGAATACCCCTGTCTACCCCTGGTATTGACTGTTGCCTTTCCGAGATACCCATGTCTATCCCCAGTATTGACTGTTGCATTCAACGTTTTGTTAACTATTGCAAGCCTTGTGCATATTAAACAAACCAGTGAAAACTGTTTGTGCCAGTTGAGTAACTTTATATTTTTATAAAAACACACTCACATCTACTATGAATGAATGTTATTGTATGAATCTCTAGTAACTTTGTTAATTAACACAAACAATGGATTCCTCACCAATGAACAATTACTTTGATGATTGCAATTTTAAAATGAGCGAGACTAATGCACGCTCAATCCATTGGTTAATATCGTGTAAAACGAAGCATATATTTGGTATAGCGAGTTACTTAAGTTAACATTTCCAGTTAAATCTGAAATTCAAGAAGTTTTGTCATTAAAGCTATAGTTTATGAACACTTTATTGCCTTTGCCAAACACAAACAATTATTATAAGGAACATCCCGAAGAAGTTCTTACTGATTCTCTGAAACCCAATGTGGTCAGAAAAAAGTAGCCACTCATCCCCACTCTAAACCACGTCATTGAAAGGTTTGTGATCATAGTATTGCATAGAGCGACGGTTGTGGATATGATAGTGGAATGTGATGATGGATGTAAATAAACCGGAACCATGGATCATCATCAAATGGCATTAGTGCACATTAATCACATGAGCCCCAGTCTGTAGCTATGAGCCCCCCACAAAGCGACCTCATCTGTACAAATCGTTCACAGATTTACCAAAACAACATACAATTTGGGACATTGCCATCATTTTTACAAATAGTCAACTAACTGCAGAGAAGCAAACGAACCCATCATGCATATGAAATTCGCCCATGCATTGCCCAGGTATTTACTGTGATTCAAGATTATAAGCAGTGATGACCATTATATCTCCATTGTTTACAGCTTTTTGTTTACTGTTACATTCAAGGTGGCCATGGTGTTCATTTAAGAATGTTCGTAATTGTTTGGAAAGTACACATTAATACTACATGTATTATGCTTTTATCATGCATATTTATATCTTGAACAGAACACTGAAACATCATGTTTCTTCAATCCAATTTTTTGGTTTAATACAATGAAAAATACAAACTATTCCTTTCTTCTGTTTTTTACTGATTTATCCTGGTTTTCGATCTAGAATGCTGTTTTAGCCAAAAATCCACTTTATGAATCAACAAACGTGTGTGTTGATCGATAGCCTGCTATATCCAGCTTTCTGAATATAAGTTCACCTAAAATATTTGGTTAAAAGATGTGCATCCCATCCTTAGACGAACAATATTTTCTTTGAAGAAATAATATCAAAAACAACAAACAAGGATGGCCCAAACATAACTAACAACTAAAAACATAATCAAATAAATGATAAATCTGAAAAAATACAGTAAAAATTGGAAGTCACTTCAAGAGCACAAATCTTCTAATTTCTTAAGAAAAGCAAAATTGAATCTTCGAAGGATTTATTCATTGAATGAATCAGCCTCTACTCTATCTAGCAATGCAGCGAACTATTTAAAACATTCGGCCTTCCCCCCGTACTAGGCGCGGAATGTAAATTTATTATTTTGTGTATTCTAGAATAAAACGTACTAAGAATTCAAAATTACGTATGTATTGGAGGCCGTGGTGTGTGTGTTTTTTAAATGATGTGTGCATTTTAAAAACGACGTGACTGTGTGTTTTAATGTGTTTTAAAACGTCATGTGTGTTTAAAAATGATTGATGTGTGTATGTATGTGCATTAACAAAATGGTGTGTGTATTTTAAATAGCGTGTGTGTTTTTAAAAATTATGTGTATTTAAAAAATGTGTGTATTAAAATGACGTGTGTATTTTAAAATAATGTGTGTGTATTTAAAAAAATGACGTGTGTGTTTTATGGGCTACCACTTGAGACGACGCCTCCACAGGCGTGAATAGGTTAATGCACGCTATTTTTTTTAACACACACACACACACACACAAATCATTCAAAGTTAGCCCCCCACAGGCGTAAAAAGGTCAATGCACGCGTTTTTTGCACACACACGAAAAAAAAATCATTCAAAAATAGCGCCTCCTACAGGCGTAAATAGGTTAATGCACGCATTTTTTTTCTTTTTACACACACGAAATTTTCATTCGACCTCACACACGTCATTTTTAAAAACACACACGTCATTTTTAAACACACAATATTTTAAAATACACATGTCATTTTAAACACACATACGTCATTTTATTATACACACCATTTAAAACACACATCGTTTTTAAAACACGTCATTTTTAAAAAACACATGTTATTTTTAAACACACAATATTTTAAAATACACATGTCATTTTAAACACACATACGTCATTTTATTATACACACCATTTAAAACACACGTCGTTTTTAAAACACGTCATTTAAAAAAAACACGTCATTTTTAAACACACAATATTTTAAAATACACATGTCATTTTAAACACACATACGTCATTTTATTATACACACCATTTAAGACAAACACGTCGTTTTTAAAACACGCGTCATTTAAAAAAACACACATGTCATTTTTAAACACACACGTCATTTTATTATACACATAATTTTTAAAACAAACACGTCATTTTTAAACACACACGTCGTTTATAAACACACGTCATTTTAATACACACATCATTTTTAATACACACACGTCATTTTTCAAACATACAAATAATTTTAAAATACACACGTCATTTTAATATACACGTTGTTTAAAATACACACATCATTTTTT